TTTCATGATTCAGATGAATATGTTGCTTGTGAATGAACACATCATATTCTGTACTCTTTATAGCATAAAATTATTCAATCATTTTTCAATCAAAATGTTTTTGCTTTCAAAGTTTAAAAACTTACAGAGAACTATGAAATTAGAGCTATAGGATTATCAATTTATGTATTTTGACAAGGAAGCTTTGTGCAACAGACAACAAATTCATGAAAGGAAGGACAAGTGAAGAAACTAAATCCAAGATCATTCAGTGTCCAACTCCACAAGTCAGAAATTAAACTCTAATGATAACAGAAAAAAAATAAGATATTTTAAAGAATAAAAAAACCCCAAAATAATTAAAATTGAGATGTAACCAAGACTTTGCTCTGTTTTCCTCTTGATTGAGGATCCTCTTGGGAAATTGTCCTTGTCATATCCATGTGGGGGCTCAAGGGCTCTCTGGTAATAGGGCGGAGCTACACGCTGGTTTCTTTATAGAGGCCCAGATCTGTGAGCTGAAATGTGAGGATTTTCTGGGCAGAAAGCAGAAAGGGCACCTCTCTCTGTTGGAGCAGGTGAGATACTATGACCATGAGTTCCAAGCCCATAGGATAGAAGACAGAAAGCTAACTTGGAAGGAAGGAAATAGCACAAAGACAGGGGAGGGCTGTGCTGGGGCTGACATGTGAAGCAAACGACCAGTGGTCAGAGGTGAAAGCCAAAGGACCACAAAGCCGGGATATAGGTTTCAAAGGGCAGGTTCAAGCTGAGGTTTGTAGGAAGTAACTGAGCCATTAGGGAGGAAGATTGCCGACACATTTCTTTCCAAAAGAACTACCAACACTCAGTGTGTCAAAGAAATGAGGTAGAATTTTTGTGATTCTGGGTAGCTCTAAATGTGACATTTGTTTTCTCTTTTGTTTCTACTTAGCCTAGCTTTTAAGTTGGGTGCATTCTGAATCTCTAGAAAGAAATAAGCTTCTTGCACCTTTTCACTCAGTATGGAATCCTACCTCCTTACAGGATCTTG